CACAAAACAGACACGCACGCACACGCTCGCACGGACACACACACGCGCACGCACACACACACACACACACACACACACACACACGACCCACACACGACACACAAACGCACACCTTTCCCTCCTTCTATATGATTTTCGAACAAAAAGACACACAGTGACAAATACACGCACGCACACACACACACTCCCACCCACCCATCCCCACACGCACACACATTCACCTTTCTCTCCTTCTGTATGATTACAGAACACAAATGCACAACAATCTCTGTCATTTCCCCAGGACATGCGTCTGATCTCCCTGTCCATTGACTACATCCAGGCCTCCAGTGGTCACAGCCCCGAAGCTTGGAGACCAGAAACTCAAAAAGGCAGCGAGGAAATAGTAGACGAGGCAGACCAAGGTCCACTCTTCATGTACGGAGAGCGCATCGTTAGTCGCAAGAAACGCCGAATGCCTCGCCCAATGTCGGCTGTGGAACGATCATCCAGCATGTTCATGGACCACAGCTCGATCGCGGACGAATCTGTTACGTCAGACCGCCCAAAAAGTAGTCCAGGCAAGCCAAGGCCAACTACCTCTATGGGGTTTCTCCGGGTCAACGCCAGTTTTGACAGCGATACTGAGGCAGGCTCCTCCGAACACGACGGGCCAACCTCCAGCCGCCCATCAACTTCAGCTAGTCGGGTCACTCCACGCCAGGACTGGGGAGAAGATACTTCTGAAATGACGAAAAAGATTCTGAGAGCTCAGGAAAGGTCTCAGTCGGGGAAAAGGTCGGTGTATCAATCCGCCGAGGAAGTGATGAGTGCCCAGGCTTCAAGGCATCTGAGGGGACTAGCGCGAAAAACCCGCATATCTTCCGCCGTCTCCACTTCGTCCCGCCCCACCTCTTCCATTTCAAGACATTCTGTAGAGAATCAAGACTTCGCTCCGAAAAGACCACCTGACATGGTGGAAGGGTTAGGGAGAAGAGCAACGTTTGGGGAGATTCTCAACCAGAGACGTCCTACAATGAACGCAGGGGCGTGGCGTTCCCACCTCAGTCAGACTTCCGCCACGCCTATGTCTACACAGGCCCATAGCCAAATGTTGATGAGTGCTAAGAAAATGATCAACGACTCGAGGCTTGAAAGAGTGAACGAAAGAGTCCAAAGTTTTATATCCGGTGACCGTAATCCACCTCGGAGAGCTCAGTCTGCTAGAAGGTGAATGAAGCAGTGGGGAAGGTTGAGGGGTTGTTGGGGGGGGGGGGTTGACAAATGCCACTTTAAAGTCTGTCTTTTCTACATTTACTGTCTCGTTTCTGTCTGTATTGCTTTCCCCTCGCGGATTTAAACGTATACGATAATGTCTCAGTATCTCAGCACTTATCTTTGCTCACAAAAATTTAACCGAAGGTGTACTTATCTTGTAGTTTTCGTAAACTACTGGTGATTATTTTTTTAGAGGGAATTTGGAAGGAGGGGGGGGGGGTTGT